TTTTTTGAGAGATGGCGAGGAAGGGAGAGAGAGAGAAGCATCAGTTTGTTGTTCCACTTATTTATGCATTTTATTGGTTGATTCTAGTATGTACCCTGACCGGGCATGGAACTTGCAACCTTGGCATGTGTGGAGGACACTCTCACCAAGTGAGCTACCCGGCCAGGGCTCACCATTCCTTTGTCTCTGGGTTCCCACAGGCATGGATGCCCGCCCCCCCCTTCTGGTCAGGATATGCTCTTCCCCCCNCGCCTCCTCCCCATAGCACTGGCCTCCCCAGTCTTGGCCTAGCTGCTCCTCCCCTGCCTCCTCCTTAAAACCCCCATGCCTACGGCCAGGAGCCCGCAGTCCCCAAGTGGCACCGGGCAAGGGCCCACTGCTCATCTTGAACCTGCGCCAGCCAGAGGGGACAAGGAAGGCCCTCCGCAGCCTGAAGGTGGGTCAGAGGGTAGATTCTGTGTAGCTAGTCAGACAGTGGTAGGACGTGGCTACAGGGTGGCAGGAGAAGCAGCCACTAGGCAACTGATGGGTGACAGGCACCTCGAGGGATCACCAACCACTTAACTGAGCAGGACTGTGAGATTTTGTTTGTCGGGGACCGGCGACACACCTGTGAGGGGCACAGAACGAAGAGGTGCCTTGCAAGAGGCTCACAAATGTGAGGACTGTCCTGGCCTGAGGACACTGACTGCCCATTCCCGGCAGGCACCAAGACCCCTACTTGGCAGCGTCTAACCCACTCCTCACGTAACCAGGCCACCAACGGCTGAGAAGACCTAACTGAGAGGACAGATGGCTTCAGCTGGCCTAGAACTCCTAGGCATGACCCTGGCTGTGCTGGGCTGGCTGGGGACCCTGGTGTCCTGCGCCCTGCCCCTGTGGAAGGTGACCGCCTTCATCGGCAACAGCATTGTGGTGGCCCAGGTGATGTGGGAGGGGCTGTGGATGTCCTGCGTGGTGCAGAGCACAGGCCAGTTGCAGTGTAAGGTGTACGACTCAATGCTGGCACTGCCCCAGGACCTGCAGGCTGCCCGAGCCCTCTGTGTCATCGCCCTCCTCCTGGCCCTGCTCGGCCTGCTGGTGGCCATTACGGGAGCCCAGTGCACCACCTGCGTGGAGGACGAAGGTGCAAAAGCCCGCATTGTGCTCACGGCGGGCGTCATCCTCCTTCTCTCAGGCATCCTGGTTCTCATCCCCATCTGCTGGACGGCCCACGCCATCATCCAGGACTTCTACAACCCCCTGGTGGCTGAAGCCCTCAAGCGGGAGCTGGGGGCCTCCCTCTATCTGGGCTGGGCAGCATCTGCCCTGCTCATGCTGGGCGGGGGCCTCCTCTGCTGCACATGCCCCCCGCCCCAGATCGACCGGCCACGAGGACCCAGGCTGGGCTACTCCATCCCCTCCCGCTCGGGCACCTCTGGGATGGACAAGAGGGACTATGTATGAGGTGGAGAGTGTCTCCGGAGGCTGCTCAGAGCCTTGACTTTTTGCTGAATGCCCTCTCTAACCCCTGCCTTCTACCATCAAACCCTTCCCCAGGTGAAACCTACTTTCTAGGAGCTCCAGTCTGGCTGCTGGGCTCGTCTCAAGATGGCTTGGCTGAGCCCAGACCCTCCTCAATGGAGTCCCCACCTCCTGGCTGCCCAACTCCCCTAACCAGTTGCTTTCTTCCGCTTCCAGGACATAGGTTGGCTCTCCTCCCCTTCCTGAGGCCTCCCCTGCCCCTGGAACCTGGGCCTTACCTGAAGGGCAGTACTCCTTGGCTCAAACAAGGAAATTATGCCTTGCCTGCCCTGGAGCTGGTCCCCTCTAGTCTGGCCACCCACCAACAGCATTCAGAGACCCAGGCCAGGCCCTCCGGGAGAAACCAGTCTCCTTCAGGCCAGAAGTGCCCAGCCCACCCCCTGTCCCCACCCCTGAGTTCCCTGAATAAAGAATATTTGTGCCTCCAGCTGCCTTGATCTGTGATTGGGCAGGGAACACCAGGGCTGTCAGGCCAAGGTCTGCTCCAGGTCCTGCCCTGTGAGTAACCCCACTTAGGCCATGCTAGGCAGGTGAGCAACAATGGAGGCGAGTCTCCCATGTTCACTTTACACCAGGTTGGAACTCAACAGCCTCCCAGCAACACCAATGGCAAGTAACAAAACGAAACACACTTTATTTAGTAAAAACTGGTGAGTGTGGGTGTGGCATGGCAGAAGTGTGCAGAGCCTGGAGATGAGAAGGTCAGGGGTCTACAGCATGGCTGGGAAGCAACTCTGGGAAAGGATGGAAGAGCCAGAGGTCAGAAATCTTTGGAGGTAGGCGCTTTTTGGTAACTTATCACCCGCTCTTCTCAAGGCTACTTGAGGCTCAAGAGCCTTTGGAGTTCCAGAGGCCTTACCAACAAGGCAGGGCGTATCCCTGGAAGCCCAGGGAGGCCCTGCCCCAACAGCAGCAGGAACTCTTGGGGACAGACCATCAAAGCACCTTTTGTCACAAAGCACCTGGCCAGCAAGCAGCCTTCACCCAAGGGCCACAGCTCCAGGTTGGCCTCTAAGATGGGGATGTCCAAGGTGGAGAAAGATCCAGAAACTCTGAAGTGCTGCCTTCTTGGTTTCATCATCCAAAGGTGAGAAATGCCAGCAGCAGAACCCAGGTGAGAGACTGAGTTTCTTCTTGGTTCGGTGTTTATTAAATGGATTAAAAGAAAAATATCTCCCTTGCCCAATAAAAAGGAAAAACAAGATAAAAGCAACCCAGAAACTGTCATGCATCTGATGACTCCAGCTCATGGGGTAAGCTCCATGGTCAAGGGAGTTCCCATTCCCCTACCCACATCAAACGTAATTCTTGGTGGGGTATTCAGAGGGCCCCTGAGAGTTGGCTCGCGGGGCAGATGCTGAGTATCGGGCCAGGTAATGGCTGGAGCCCCGGGACCCCCCAGAGGGGCAGGTGTAGCACAGGAGCCCCCCACCCAGCAACAAAAGGCCTGAAGCTGCCCAGCCCAGGTAGAGGGAGGCCCCCAGCTCCCGCTTTTGGGCCTCTGCCACCAGAGGGTTGTAGAAATCCTGGATGACAGCATGGGCCGTCCAGCAGATGGGGATCAGAGTCAGGACCCCTGAGATGACAAAGATAATCCCAGAGGTGAGCACCAGTCGGGCCTTGGAGTCCTTGTCCTCCACACATGTGGTACACTTGGCCCCACCGAGGTAGATCAGCAGACCCACCAGGGCAATGAGGAGGGTGATGATGCAGAGGGCTCGGGCAGCCTGCAGGTCCTGGGGCAGTGCCAGCATTGAGTCGTACACCTTGCACTGCATCTGGCCTGTACTCTGCACCACACAGGACATCCACAGCCCCTCCCATATCACCTGGGCCACCACAATGCTATTGCCGATGAAGGCGGTCACCTTCCACAGGGGTAGGGCGCAGGACACCAGAGCATTCACCCATCCAAGCAACGTCAGGACGATCCCCAGGATTTGCAGACCAGCAGAGGCCATGGTGAGGTTGAGGCTGAAAGGAGCTGCACTGGGGACAGAACACAGTAATATTAAGAACAGCTGGCCAGATTCCCCACTCCCACTGAGTGCTAAGCCTCATGCCATGTGCCATGGCCACACAGAAAACCACACAGAAAACCTAGAAGTTGGGATACCATGTCCTGTCCCAGAGCCTCATTTTCTCATGGGCAAAATGAGCATTAATGCTTTAGCATATATTTCTTTTTCCCTAGTTATGTGGTCGGCACTGGCTTACAATGGTGAGTAAGTAAGCCAGCTAGTCCTGGATTTTTTGAGTACAAATGAAAGATAATATAAAGCCTAAGCAAGTGCTAGTCCCTGGCCTCAGCCACTATGGGTACATTTTATCAAACAGCAAAGTGACAAAAAGGGCATGATGAAGCAACAGAGAGAAGTCTGCAGGTGTTTTCCGCAGGGCGTACAGATGGAAGGTTGGCTCTAGCGACTGAGTTTCAATCTCAAAGTCATCAAGATCAGAGAGCCAAGCTTCCTTCCACCACCCAACAGGAGGGTCCAAATCCCTCACCCCAACATGGTTCTGTACCTCAGGCAGGTGGTTACCAGTTCGATCTTAAAGATCTTGTGTTCTGCGTGGCCCACCTGGCCTGCCTCTGCTCAGCCCAGCCCAGCCCCATCCAAACCTTGGAGGGGCAGGAGAGATTGGGGAGGTGGGCACTCCTACCCAAGAGCACTTCCTTCTCTCAGGCCACTGGCTGCCTCCCTGGGTCCCACTCTTCTGCCCTCCCTTTGAGGCCAGAGAGCATCCCCCCCCCAGGTGGGGGAAATTTTCTTGTGTATTCTTGCCCCAAATGCCATTCTCCCAGGACACAACTTCCCTAAAAGGAGCTAAAATCCTTGGGGTCTACCCAGTGAACCAGCTCGTTCACAGCAGCCCCCTGCACCTGTCTCCCCTCACATCCCACTTCGCGTTGGAGGTCTCCACCCGGGTCAGTTCTGTCCAGGTTCCTGTTGTGGTTCTCCATTGCCCAAAGGTTCTGTGCAACGTCTTGGACTTAAGCTTAGCACCAGCCCGGCCGTGTGACCAGAGGGGAGACTCTCCACTCACTTTTCATTTGCACCCATTGGGTACGAGCTGAAGACCTCCAGGGAGATCGGACGGGGTGGGCAGCCCTCGTTCGTCTCAGTCGCGTTTACCCAGCGCTTCTCCCCTGCCCTCGACCCATTCCTTTTACACACATTATGGGCTCCCCCCGGTCCTAGGGCGCCCCTTCCCGCTCTCGATCCCTACTTCCCTTCGGAGTCCAGCCCGAAGGTGGGTGTCCTCAGTCCCCCACCAGCCTGGGAGCCGAGCGCGCGGGATAGTTTAATGGCGGCGCGGGCCCAGGGTCTGCCCGCTCAGGTGAGGGGGAGGGGCGGCAGACCCGCAGAGCAGCGCAGGTGGGGGAGGGGCGCCCGGGTTTCGGAGCCTTTGTCCTAGGGGAAGAGAGGAGGGGCATTTAGCCGTTTTCGAGAGCCGAGGGACCCTATCTACCCCCCGCCGGGGCCTCGCCAGAAGACCAGTCCAGGTTCTCCAAGCTGCCCGCCCCTGCACCCCGTTCCCCGAGGCACCCACCTCCTCCTCCCCAGCACGCACACTGCCCCAGGCTCACCTGAGCAGGTAGGACCCCGCAGAGATTCGTAAGAGCCGCGAGTGTGGGGAAGGGGCGGAGACGGGGTCTTAAAGAGACAGTGACGTCACTCGACCACCGCCCCTGGGAGGGGCAGAGACCCCAGTCCAGACCACTGGGGGCGCGAGGTTTCCAACCTCGTCAGTCCTGAGGCTTGAGACTGGGGCTGCTGCCCCCGCAACTGGCCCGGGTGAGGGGACATCAGAGGCTGACGTGGGGGCCCGCAGTGAGTCAGGGCGCAGGGCGTGGTGCCAAACGGAATTTGGGTCCCTGCTCCGCCACCTTCCCGAGCCTCAGTTTCACACTCAGCAAAATGGAAACAACAAGCCCGCATTTTACTAGGTAACTATGTCCTAAGGTAGAAATTTAAGGACAGATTATCAGTATTTTTATGCTGTTATTATACCCCCGGTGTCATTAATAAAGTTGCGATGTGTGGTTTCGTGTCTGATCCCCTCCCCCCCCACACACACACTGCCCCATCCCCCTCCAGGACTTGAGCACCGAGGGGACAGCCAAATCAGTGTCCGGGCTAGGTCCCCACAGCGCGCATGCTTACGGTGCTCGCAGTGCTGGTGACTGAATTTAGCGGGCCCGACGGGGCGGGGCGTCCCGGGGCGAGCCGCTAGGCAGGCTCAGGCGAGGGGGCCGCCCCGGAAGGCG